TGTATAACAAAGCCTTTTAAACAGGTTGAGTTGGTTAATAACAATAAATATATTTATGCTATCAAAACATTCAACAGGATGTTACTTGCTCTTCGGCTACTGTACTTCCCTGAGCCTTGTTACAATTGCGCGATAAATGCAAATAATTCAATTTCCCCTTATGAATCATGGTTTGTTGTAAATATGGACAGTTGCATAAAAGTCCAGTACCGTGACGGTGTTAGCTAGGAATAGCGTGAATATTATTTAATCGAGGGCCTTTTGATTATGTAAAATAAAAAATAAAAATTTAGATTTTTTTTTTGTGTTATTGTCAGTCGTCGGAATTGTGGCAGTTAATAACTAAAGAAGAATGTGGACATTCCCTTCTACAAATCCCGGGAATTCTTAGGACAGAATAGACTATATTTATAGAAATTTGAGTACATTGGTGACAAATTATTATTAGGAAATACCTATTTATGCCGCCAAGCAGTAATGTCAGCATTAGTGTGTTCCGGTTTTGAAGGGTAAGGGTGCTGGTGAAATTATAGACCCTGAGACATAGTTGATGGGTTCCATATGTCCCGTCAACTATGTCTTAGGGTGACGGGCGTTGTGGTAGTGCCCTCAGATCTTAGGAATTTAATGCTCTGAGTGGCACTGTAATGGACAGGCGTTTAGCTTGCCATCAGGCGCACGACTTGTTTGTCCCGTCACTTGATGTTATAAAAAATAAAAATACAAAAAGTGCAAATACTTATTTGCTGCAAATTATTGTCTACAAATATAATAATATAGTTAAAAAAAGACATTTATTTGTCCACAAAACACATAAACCGAATATAATCGAACAATTAAAACAAAAGAACAGTAATGTGGACAAAAAGGATGAAGACTCAGCATTGCTGATTTTCAGACTCCACCTATAACTATTCGCTTGTTGTGTTTCTATAGGCACTAATGTATTTAAATACTTTTGCCACTTAAAATATAAACATGAGACAACTTATATTTTGGGATGTTTAGAAAATGAACAATAAAAAATAACATTTTATAAGCATTGATGACGAAATCGATATGTCCATACTAAGAAAACGTTAATACTTTAGGTATATTAACTTCCTCAATTCCGTGCACTGGTTATTATAAATTAAAATACTCGCTTGTTATAACTAAGTTGCTGAGCAATATATATAAAAGGTTCGGTTTAAATAAAATTTAG